ATTCACCACCAGATGTCAGGGTAGAGCTCATCCTGACTCTGCTTACATAATAAATATATTTAAACTGTTGACAAGAATCAGTGACCATAATTCTTACAGTTTGGTGTTTTTAAAAGAGGTTTTCCAGCCCTTCTGCTCACACAGCAATTATAAATATTTATCACAGACAATAATGAATAATAATAGCTATTCACTGTACTGCTTAGGCCTTGTCTACCCTGCAAGTACAGCCAGATTAGAGGGCCCAGATAGGGTGACCAGACAGCAAGTGTGAAAAGTGAGGACAGGGGGTGGGGAGGTAATAGACACCTATATAAGACAAAGCCCCAAATATCAGGACTGTCCCTATAAAATCAGGACATCTGGTCACCCTAGGCCTAGATAAAACAGGAATGTCTCCCAACAGAGTGTCAGCAGGGCTCAATCTTGTTGATTTCAATTGTGGGCTTGTTTCCATGAGAAACAGCACAATTTAATTAAATGAGTTTAGATGCTTGTAGGCATATATGCATGTATGGCCACCCCTCATTGTCAATCTCCCAGGGAGGCCATGCCTCTTTGCTGTCACACACCTAGAACAGCAGTCTGTAGAAGGGGGAAGTTCGCTGTCTCTAGGGCTCAAATCCTTAGACAGGAGAGAGTAGTGAATAGTCTATAAGCCCAGACCCTGAGGCGGGGCAGGGAACCAAGCAGTTTGGAGGTTCAGACCTCAGGCCAGGTAGAGCAGTGAATAGTCTAGGAAGGACAGGGCACCAAACAGTCAAGGGGCTCAGGCCTGGTGGAGCACCAATAGTCTAGGGCCTCAGGAGGGTTTCTCTGACCCATGCAGTGGGCCAGAGCATCAGACAGTCAGGCACACAGCAGACAAACACAGGCCTCTTGGCCTTTGGTGGGATGGCAGGGGGACCCAGGCCCACCCAATTCCACCAAGCCCCAACAGTGGCAGAGTTTCCACTACTGGGTCAACAGGGATCCAGCCACAGCACACTGAGCTTGGATCAGGCAGCAACATGCCAGACTGGAGTCAGCTGTTCCCAGGTTACTTCCTCCCCTCCAGGTGTTCCTTAGTCCCAGGGTCAATCTCCATCTCCCCAGGATACACTGCCAGTGGCAATCCCAGCAGCTCCTCAGGTTGGCTGCATCTGGCAGCTCAGAAGAGTCCTCAGGACAGCAGATATCTGCTCCTCACCCAACAGCAGGGTGGAAGCATCTGTCTCCCTCAGCAGCTCCAGCCCAACTGAGTGACAAGGCCTGCCTTTTATACTTCCTGTTCCTGTGTCACCCCTCTGCTTCTGGTGTGGTGGGCATGGCCTTCCTGGTTCCACCCACTAGGGGGTGTTTGGCCGTCCCTTGCTGTCAATCTCCGAGGGAGGCTATGCCTCTTTGCTACAACGCTGACTGGGTTAAATTGGTGCAACCCCCTCCCTGCGAAAACTCTTATTTCTGTATAAAGGAGCCCTACAGTAATTTAGGTTAGGTGATTTCTCACTGACTTGGTATAGACAAGCTCTTGTCCCTGAGTGACGTTAAAGCATTGGACCATTCAAGGGTTTTAGCATTGCACAGGGACACGGACAAAGCCCCATTTTTGTTACAAGGGGGAGCTGAGTTGTAGCAGAGTCAAGGGGAAAGAAGATCAGACCTAGTTATTTTTGCAGCATGGATAGGACCTTATTCCTGGTAAGTTGCTACCTGGACCAGGACTGGCAGGGTTAATATGAACAGGAAACCCCCTTTCAACATGTCCCAGGGCAAACCCACTGGTCCTGCCTTTCCCAGCCTGCCTCCTCCACCAGTCTCCTGGGAGCTTCAATGACATCACAGGCAGAGCTCACTGCACTTTGGCTTGTTCCACATTAGATATTTTCAGCAGTTTTCAGATTTTTCCAAAATTGATCTAGTGAGTGAGTCTGGGCCCCACATCATCCTCCACCATCTACGCCCAATGTCATGATAGCCCAGGGCTGATCCAAACCCTCCTGCCAGATCTCTCTGTGAGCTGACCCAAGCGAGAGATGTGCTGACTCTCCAGCTTCATATCCAGGATGGGGTTTCTTCAAAATATAAGTGCTGCAGTTTCACAAATTCGATTATATAGTTTGAAACATGCGATGTCATTCCAATTCCTGTTTCCATGTTTGGTTTGTTTTCCCTCCACATGCATGACAGCACAGTACTCACTGGGATCATTATTGGGTTCCCCAGGTCTCCAGAACCTGTAAAATAGAGAAGCTCACGTGTTAGAGATGCATCACTATAAATGTCGCAGGGGAAAGTGTTGTAGCTGATGATGATGAGGGAGAAGGAGAATTGCAACACTTGAATCAGGCACAAACACTGCTCTTCTTCCAGCACACTGTTCCCAAAAATTCATTCATAGCTTCTATCCATGTTCCCTTTGTAAATCATCTCTCTATTGCAACAGAAATAGTTAGTTCCAGTTGTGGGTAAGCCGCTCTCTCTCTTTCTCACTCTCTCTCTCTCCCCCAACACAAACACACACACACCCATTACATTGTGTATTAATCCTGGAACTAAGTGGAGGGTGGTAACTAGTCTCCATCCCAGGAAATACTCACGCTGCAGTATCGTTATATGGAGTCTCATCCACCCAGTGCCACTGTCCTTTCTTCTCCTTGTCAATCAGACCAATACAGTAATTCATTCCTTCGCTGCCTGTAACTGTTCCATTTACCCGAGTGAAGATGAAATCCTGGATAAAAATAAAATCATATCTCCATCAGGTGCAGTCCCTGGGTAGACAGTAGGAGATCAGGGTCCCTGTGGGGGTGTGGGGGTGCTGGATGTGATGGATGAGGAAGCCCAGGATTGAATGAACAAAGAGCCCAAACATCCTCTCCAGGGCTGCACTCTGAGTGCCCAGAGGAGCCTGACTCCCAGCAAGTTACCTGCTCAGCTCCTGTGTTGATCACCACCAGGTGGGAGTCCATCCCTGTGCAGTTCCTCTCACTGTCATCCCAGGTCATGATGTCATTAGAGAAGTAGTAGCAGCTGGCCTGAAAGAGCTCCCAGCCCCTGGGGCAGCACGTCCAGACTTGCCCTGTGAGGGGAGAGAAGAATGAAACACAGAAAATAAAAATGGAAAGGACTTGTTAGGTGACACCCAGTTCAGTCCTCAGGTCCAGTACAGGGTAGTTCCATCCAGTCCATCTTCATTTCACACATATCTTGAGCAATGGGGACTAACAGAGGCCTTCATGGTGAGGAAATGATTCACAACCTGCAGACCAATTATTTTTTCTCCTACTTGGTCTTTTTTATACCTAATTCTTCCCCCTAAACCCCTCCTGGTCAGTTCTTTTCCTCATTGTTGCTTGACCTCTGGAGGCACTTGTAGGCCATTAACACACACTAACTAGTTCAGTGCTGGACTGTTTCCCTTCCTGCTTCTGTGCTTGCTCTGGCAGCCTCTCCTTTAGTGTGTCCTCCTTCACCTTCTCCCCCTCTGTCCTTTTCCTTCAGTGTTCCTCACTCTTCTCCTCTTCTCACTCCATACCCCACCCCTAGATGACCTCATCCACTTCAATGGCTTCATGTCTTGTCTCTGCTATGACGTTGTCTCTCACCCTTACCAGCCATTCATTCCCACTTCTCTCCATTCGACTTATGAGCTACTCCAGAGAAACCCTCTTCTGCTCCCTTCTATATCATAAATAATAATGTCAGTATCCCCCACTTAGACTTGTAATCTTTGTGTTTATTTAACTCCTCTGTCTCTCCCTCCTTTATCCACAAATCCATCCTGCTGCTCAACACTGCCAGTCCTTTTCTCTTTCCATTGTTACTGCCAAATCCTCAGCCCATGCCTTGGCCATCTCTCTGTAATCTTGACTGCTGCACCTACCCCTCTCTGGCCTCCCCAGGTTTCATACTGTGTCCCTCATATATAATATTGCTGCCATTTCATCTCCCTATCCTTTCCCACTTGAGTCTCCTCACTGGCTTTGTTCTTCTTCTGGGTCAGATTCAACCCCCTCACCCTCACCTTCAGGGGCCTCCACAACTCTGCCCCTATCTCCATCTCATCTATAGTTACTTTCTACTCCTACATTCAGCCACTTCAGCTTATCTCATCATTCTCCTGGTCTTCTTCCACAAATAGCTCTGCACCTTTTCTCGCTGTGTCCTTGAAACCTGGAATATCCTCCTTGACCTCCACGTATTCCTGCCTCAAATCACTCCTCAAAACTCATTCCTTTCAGTCAGTGTTCTACCCTTGCCCTCTCTTCCGACTGCCTCTAATTTGTCATATTATGGTGGAGTGGTCACAAAGCCATAGTTAAGGATACATCAGAGATTTGTTTTAATGGAGAATAATGAGACCCCTGCTGATTCTAATGTCAACACCGACTTCAGCATTACCAATTTGAAAGTGCCCAATTAATCAATGAGGCCATCCTTTACTACGTATTTTATGTGTGATAGCACATTTGCCAAGGTGCAGTGGCTTCATTTAATTGAACGTGGCATTTCTCCATGTAAGAACACTCACTGCAGTCACTGTGTTCTTCACTACATTGGCATTGTTCTTTGCAAAGTTCTGCATTATTTGCTTTTTTATTTTTCATGTCCAGTTTAAACAGTTTCTTTTAAAACTAGGAAAATTCACACAGAAAAATCTTTCTTTAATGTTAATTATCCTTGCTCTGTTCTACTTCAAGAACATTCTCCTCAAAGACTGAAAATCTAGAATACAAACAGTTCAGGTCACAACCACACTTCTGTTTCTCTACTGACACCAAGAGAAAACTTTACAACTTTTACCTATTACTGTCCTCCTTCCACAACACATTGGTCACACCAACAGCTTCAAAAACTGTCATTTAAGCTTTAACTCCGACATACACACAAGAAAAACACATATGTTCCATAGATTCATAGAATTTAAGGCCATTAGATCATCTAGTCTGACCTCCTGCCTCCTGTATGTCACAGGCCCTAGAATTTCATCATTACCCTGCTATCGAGCCCGAGAAATTGTGTTTGACTTATTAAGAGATCAACTTTTAATTAATTGACAAGCAAAACTGTGAATGGACAATCAGTACCTCTACCTCCAATGAGGACATGATCCCTATTGCAACCTCTTGCCTTCTTCACAAGGTCTTATTCGGCCACTATTACTCACATTGAGTCGCCTAGTAGAAAGAACCCTGGACTGGAGTTCTAGGTTCTGTTCCCAGTTCTGCCACTGGCCTTCTGGGTGACCTTGGGTAAAACCCTTGCCTCAGTTTCCCCATTTGCAATTTGAGGACAATGATACTGCCCACCTTCACAAAGAGCTTTGAAACCTACGGATAAAAAAGCACTATACAAGAGCTAAGCAGAAGTAGTAGTACCTAACTTCATGTTGAGGCTGACTGAAGTGAATGGGACTATTTCTGAAGTAAGGTATAATGGGCTGCGAATAAAGGGGCAGATCTAGTCCACTGTCTGACAGTCAGCTGGACTGCTCTGTTGATAAATGAATGTATAAGGTCACTGTTAAAGTTTGCGTCTGACGAAGTGGGTATTCACCCACGAAAGCTTATGCTCCAATACATCTGTTACTCTATAAGGTGCCACAGGACTCTTTGTCTGTTTTTACAGATCCAGACTAACACGGCTACCCCTTTGATACTTGTTAAAGTTTAGTGACCCACTTTATCTCATAGTGTGGGCATTAGAGCACATCAGATTGCAGTCACAGACTTTATTAGAAAATAAAATATTTAAACACTTAGCGTGAAATCCTGGTTCCATTAAAGTCAGTGGCAAAATTCATATTGACTTCAATAGGGCCATGATTTCAACCTGTTTATTTTTATGGAGATATATGTTTAAAGTATAACTCCTTTTAAGATATGATTGTCTTTTGGGATTTCTTAGAGAAAAAAGAAAACATCTTTAACTTCTGTCTCCCTCTTGTATGTAGAGCTGGATGAAAGTTTTTGAATACAACTTTCGTTCACCAAAAAATGCAGATTTAGGTCAAAGGAAACATTTTAAGAATTTGTGTCAAATTAAATTCTTGTTTTAAATTTTGCATCAGTTTTCTTTTAAGAAATCTTTAAAAAACTCAAAAAATGAAATGTTTCATTTCAGGTCAATCAAATAGTTTTTTTGACCCAATATGATTTTTTTTCAACTTTTTTGATGTGTCTAGTAAACCAAAAACTCAGTAATTCACACAGCTCTCCTTGTATTAAGTTTGAGTTAAGGCTGTGTAAATTACAAAAAGGAGACATTTGTTAAAAGTTATTCTTTACAGTGGACCAAAAAAGAGAATTTCTGTCTCAAGGGAAAAACAATATTTTGACATTTGTATTCATCCTCAATCGGGATGAAAATTGAAATATTGAAACTTTAAGGAACAAAACGTTCTGAAAATTTTGGACTCCAAAATACCAAACATTTCATTTTAACATTTTCAATTGAAACTAAATATTTAGCCATTCCCAAATCAGAACCGTTAATTTTGATTTTCCCAAATGGAAAATTCTCCCCAAATAGACCTTCATTATCATCTCAGCAAAAACAGCACCCCCTACTGAGCCTCCAGCATCATTCCCTCCAGCTCTCGCTGTGCTACTGCCTATTTACCCATCCACGTAACTCAGGGCTCAACTGGCTGGTTTATAGATTCATAGATTCATAGATTCTAGGACTGGAAGGGACCTCGAGAGGTCATCGAGTCCAGTCCCCTGCCCGCATGGCAAGACCAAATACTGTCTAGACCATCCCTGATAGACATTTATCTAACCTACTCTTAAATATCTCCAGAGATGGAGATTCCACATCCTCCCGAGTTAACTTACTCCAGTCTTTAACCTCCCTGACAGTTA